AGAAATAAGCTGCTACTCATCAAAAGTGTCATCAGGCCGGCCATGACGTATGCCTCCACAGCGTGGGGATATGCGGCAGAAACCTACCTGAGGCAGTTCCAGGCCACAGAAAATAAACTTCTGCGGATGGCCATAGATGCTCCCTGGTTTGTACGTAATCGTCAAATTTACAGGGACCTAGAGTGGGAGCCACTACGAGACCTACTAAAAAGAAAAGCAGCCACTACCTTCGAAAAGCCCGAAAACCACCCCTTTGAGGAGCTACGAAATGCCGTAGCTTATTCCCCAGAGGACAACGGGCTTAGGAAAAAAAGGCCCAGACACCAGATGGCCCAATAGGGCAATAAATAGGTACAAGCAGTAAACTGTAGAGTGCTGTAAGTGTATAACTTTTAGAATAGAGTGATAGAAGTAACATTGAGTAGTGTAGTGCTTGTGTCAAATTAGTAAGATGCCCATTCCAGCAGCTAGCTAGCATGGAGAGAACAAGTTTTAAAGGATAACTCCTAGAAACTTGCAGTCAAAAAAGGGAGGTTTTTAGTTGGTAGAAATCCAACACTACCTGGTGTCACGGGACACTGGGTGTCTTAGAGAAGATTTTTTATCCTCCAGCCGCCGCCGGGCAAACAAATAAAAACAAAAAAAAGACAGGGGGAGTGAAGTGACAGCAGCGACCGGGTGCAGAAGAGGTTGAACCCCGTAAGTCGAAAGACCGAGTTTTCCGTCGGTTATTGTTATTGTTTGTGAAGTTGACGGTAATTTTGAAATTAGTTTGTTCCTGTTCCGCATTTAAAGTTATACCGAAGTGAATAAAAGTTGGAAGCTGAAGAAAGAGTTTGATACCCGGCCATCCACGGTACAATATATTGTATAATACAACAAGCAAGGAAAAAGATAGTGAGATTCCTAATTAGAGTATCTTTGTCCTCGTTTGTTGTTATATATATATTTGGATACAAAATGAATAAAAAAAAACCGGAATCGGAACTGTACCGAATTTGAATCTATTTTCTAAACCGGAACGGAACCGAAATTTTTTATTTTGCCTTGGACCGAAACCGGAACGGAACAGTTATTTCGTTTCGGTCCGGGTACTTGGGGCAAAGTATTGAATATCTATATTAACAATTCTCTTCTTTACATTTATTGAACTCTATAGAATTTCGTCCTTTTCTAAAATATAGCAGAATTGTTTTTCTGCGAAATGTAGAATTTTAACCACAGTACCCGCTAAACAATTTTTCGTTTCAGAAACGTTTCAGAAACGTATATTAAAATCCCGAAACGTTTCAGTTGCCTACACTATATGTTTCAGAAATGTTTATGTAATTGCAAATCGCCGCCCTCAGAAATGTTTCGCTGAAACATTGCAGAATCGTTTCGTTGGAACCCCTTCCCGCCAAAATGATTTTGCTAAAAGCCGCCACAGAGAGACATCGTCCAAAAATCCAGAGGATCAGCTGATTATTTGCATGCGTTTGTTTTGTACATATACAGTCCATAAGAGGACTCTGACATAGAGTATCTTACAGTTAACAGTATTCCGTCAATTTTCAATCTTTCAGTTTATCAATGTTTTCAATTTGCAATCATAAGCAGCATTTTCAACTAGTTTGATAAATGTGATATTTAACTTTGTTTTACAATAATGGAGCATAACGTGGCTCGGAGAATGACTAAGTGTTGTGTTCGGAACTCTGTGATCTTTGGATAACTGTGCAGTTTATTTGAGTTTTACAACAACTGAATATAAGGTATCATTTCACTCCAAGATAT